CTTGATGAGCAATGAGCAAAGCCCATCTGAGCATTTCAAGATTATAAAATCAGGGGACTTGGGCATATTCACAGAAGGAAAGCTTCCAAAATCAGTGGCTGTGGACCACCAAATGCTGTTGTCAAAGGTGCTAGAAATGCCAAAGAGGCAAAATGTAGGAAATTCACCCTCCTGAAGCAGGACAGGACCTTCTGACCTGTAGAGTCAGGCTGGATTAAGTAATGGTGCACCTGGTGTATAGAGTAGGCAGACCCATCCCTGGCCATGGTGTTGCACTCAATAGCTATGAGCTCAGGGCTTCTCAAACCCAGAAAGAGAGATAAAGGGAAGGAAGCAGCAAGAAATAATGTAATATGACAAAAATACAGTCCACAGGAGTTTGAGGCTTAGAAAGAAATGTCTTCTGCTGGGGAAGGGGAGGACACCCTCTGAGGCACACCAACAGCCTTGGGGAAACTTTGATTTCAAGAATAACCAAGAGAAACCACTCCAGATGTGAGTTTGACTTATTCCTGGTACAAATGCTTTGGTCTGGTTTAGTTTGGTCTCTTAAATGAGTGCTGTTCCCAGTGAAAGCAGGGATTTGGATGGTAAAGAAGTGTGCTGGAGGCAGGCAGCTCCACAGTGTGCTAGCCAAGACACTCAAGGTGCTCACTTCAGGTGGCTGATCAAAGGAAGAGATGCATAAACCATTGCATAAACCATAACATATGCTCCACAAGGAGCGTAAACCATTGCAATGCTTAATTTTCACTAATAGAGTCAGACAAACAGCAACAAAAATTATCTAAATTTATCTGGAAAATGTGCTTCTAATAAATCTCCAAACAGGCAGAGCTCAGGTTGATTCCTCCTTCCTTCTCCAGGAGGGTGACGGAGGATTTTCCTCGTGGAAAATATTCAATATATTCAGACTCATGAATAAAAATATATGAAACATAAAGCAAATCATTTAATTTCTCAGTAACAACGATGTTAGTTACAGCTATAAAACAAATCTTGTAACTGCAGAAGAGGGATTTTTAAAATCTTTTTTATTAATTCAACAGAAGCATATTAGAAATGTCTGTCATTACAAGTCTGGAGAAAAGTATTAGGTTTGAATAAGGTCATTGAGGACGGATAAGGGAAAGTAAAGGAGGGAAGGCTTAAGCACTTTTTCAGCATCCTGTGTATACAAACAGTACAAATCAGTCTTCAGAGTGTCTGTTTTGGGGAACCTTCACCCCAATACACATGGTGACATGTAACATCCACTGAATTGATGAGAAAAACCTCACATCGTCATCTTGCAGCGCTCTTTGGGAAATGTGAGCTGGCTGCTTTGACACCGGAATTGTTTGCAACATGTACTTTATCTAAGGCATCTCAGGTACCGATTTTTCTTGATGGTCATGTTCACCTCTAAGCATCATCATCTTCTGGCCTAGTGATGATCCCCTGTTCTTACTGAGCAGTCACTCCTATTCAAGGATATTACAAGAAACAAAATCAAGCGTATATTCAAAGCAGCTGAAACAATTCTGCTGTTTATGTTCGGGTCTACCACACAAGGTAAATCATACATCTGTGACACAATCCATGGTGTAATTTTGCAGAAGGTGGCAGCAGTTTTTGGGCAACCCCAGTTTGTGGCTGTCCTCACAACACTAGTTTGTGGCTGTCTGTGCAGAAAAGTCCCTAAACAGGGCCCATCCACCTCACATGATCAAATTTTTAGCCTTCGTCACATCTGAAAATAGCAGGGTGGGGGTGTGCTGCTTCTTGAACACAATATATCCCATACATCCAGCTTTCTGGGCTAAGCAGGATGCAGGGACCTCTCAGATGTGGAGCCAGTAGGGAGCACTCTGGCTACCTGGGATTTTATAAATCTTTCAGCTATCAGTCTTTCAGAGCTCCAAATGCAAAATCCAGCAGCCTGGGATATCATGTGGATTTATGACTTGGGATTTATGAACTGGTCTGGATAAAATAAGAACTGCCTGACTTTTGCTTTTTCTTTTTTTTTAGTTTGAGAAAAAGAAATCATAAAAAATTAAGACCTGATTCTTTTTTCCCTTTTCAAAGCTTGTTGTTTATACAAATGTGGATGTCTTGTATATATATTCAATAATTTTGATTTTTCTTCTTATCTATGTGCTTTCTGGGACTGGAAGCAGAACAGAGAACAAGCAATGTTGCTCTCACAAGGTTTCCTGCCTGACATGAATATCCTGAAGAATCATGCTTTTGAGGCACTCCCAGCCCTTCTCCTAAAGTTAGGAAAATGTTTAAGAAGGTTTCTGGATGTTTCCAAGCAGTGGGATAGCTCCTCACCATACTGCTGCCTCAGCACTCACCCACTTTCATCACTTTCTGCCCTAAATAATTTTGCAGCTCACTTTAAATTTCATTTTATGCATGCCGAGTTTTTGTTATAGGTATATATGCATGCCCACATATATGTGCACAATCACATGCCTTTTACAGCTGCATAAACATACATACATGTATGTTTATGAGAGAGTCTTATTGGTGATTTGTGTAAAGATTGGACTAGATGGTCTTGGAGGTCTTTTCCAAACTTATGATTCTTTAATTCCATAATTCTATTAATTCTTTTTTTAAAAAACATTAAAGACTATCTGGTTTTTGTTACTAGTGAACTGCACATATTTTGCATGAGAACCCATCCCAAAGGAATTTCTAGTTTTTCCTCTAACTTGTGACCTTTCTTTAATATTTCTCATCTTACCAAAAAAAAAAAAAAAAAAAAAAAAAAAAGGAGATGGTATTTACCTTGGTCAGGAAGAAAAGATATCAGATATATTTTTGTCCCCTTTTCTGATTGACCCTTTCATACCTCTGCTAGCAGTTTCTGAATAATTTTCTTCCTGCAATCTTTGAATTCTGCTCGTTCTTTTGCGGATCATGGTATACCTTATAAAAAGCAGCCTAATAAATAGCTCAGGTCTTTCAACCTCCCACCTTCCCCATCCCCATGGGCACAGTGTTCACATGCTAGCACTGCCAGACCACGCCAACACCTCCACCCCAGGCTGCTGAAATATTTGCACTCTCTCTTCGTCTCCTCACACCTCAAGCTGGCACCACAGAGATGCTGGTACTGCTGGGCTTAACCTCTGCATGAGGCCTGCACACACGGGTGTGTGAGCATCTCCTCGGCCTCTGACAGCCTCTCCAGAGGGAAGGGGCTGTGCAGGGAGGGCTCTCACCACTTCTGGTGGTGCCCCAGCCACAGAGGCAATGCCACACCAGCAATGGTGGACTGGGGATGATGCTTCTGGAGCAGCTTAGTTTTGCTCTACCTGTTAAGAACAAGCTTTTACATCAGCTTTGGTGCCTGAATAGCCTAATGTGGGGGTATTTATCTCAGCAAGGAATTCAAGTCATCCAACCAAACCCTCCCCTATCCTGGAAGCCACGGCATGGAAATGCAACAGACCCAGTCTAAGAAATGCCAGCAACTCACTCTTTGTGGATCTGAAGGAAAATGTGCTGGTTTGTTTCTGATTACTGTAAATTCAGAGTGGAGCTTTTTTCAGCATGACTTGCAGTCCAGGAATAATTTGATTTGGAGAATTTTTTTTAATAAAATAAAGGAGCGCAAATCATGTCTCAGAGCTAGATATAAATTGCTGCTTAAAAAAAAAGGAAATCCAAAATTTTATTGGTTTTTATTTATCCCATGTGAATTTTCCAATTGCCATCTCTTTTTAAGCTCAGAAGTTACATGGTGAGCAACCAGGTTTGGGATGGTGAGGCCAGGAGACTGCTCCCTGACTTAGCACCTCCCTAACTTCAGCTTTAGTTATGAAAGTTTGCTAAAAATTTCATGTGAATTAAGGAAATGTTATGAGCAGTGGAGGTGGTGGCATTTGGAAATATGTCTTTCCAGTTTTCACCCCACTGAGCATCTGTATCCCTGTATCTTGGGTATCTACTGCAGCTCCCGTTCAGGCACTGGAGACATTTTGGGGGCAGAGTGGGGGGAACTTGGAAAATAATTTTTCTTCTCTGCTGGCTTTTTCTGTCTACTTTTCACATCACTGGAAGCTGGAGAAGAAGAGGTGGGATCTGCATCTGGGATGTGGTAGCCACACCAGAGCAGCTGCATGCAGGAGCTGGGGAGGACAGTGGAGCAGCAGTTGTCTCCTGGGAACATCCCAAGTCTCTCACCCCTCTCCCTACAGCACCCAACACTAAGAAAATCCACCAGACACCGATTGTGTGCCAAAAGCATCTTCATTTGGCTGCTTGGTCCTGGTACACGGCTCCTGCTCTCCCCCAGTCCCAGTACCATCTCTGGCATGGTCCATTAAAAATTATCTCTCCATCAGAGAGTGAGGGAGGGGGCTTGGGGCAGGCTCTGGTGCAAGGCACTAAGTGTCTGGACCCTGCTAAGTTCAAAGGCAGGCTCCCTCCCACCCCGAGGAGGGATGTAGCTGGCCGGAGGATGGCTGGAGGCCACACAGACGGGAAGGTATGTAACAATCCATTTATCACTTTGCAAATATTAGTGCTGCTTGCATTTGCTGCAGCAATATTTCTTCTTGGAAATTGGTGAAGTGAGTAATAACAATGTTATTTATTCTAAGACCTTGGAACTGAGAAGCAATAACAGGGGGACTGTTCCCTTGAAAGCTTCAGAGGTGCAGGAAATAAAATGGGGGGGGGGGCGGCAGGGAGAGAAGGACAGCAAATAGACCAACAAAGATCTGGAGGAGAGAAAGCCATTGAAATCTTGTGTTTAATTTCTTTGCCCCAAAGGTAATAAAATGCTTTTTGTAATGATTTATATATAAACAGGCAGGGTGGGAAGAAGGGTGAATATTTCAGTTTTATCTCTGGCTACAATTGCAAGGTAGCGGGGCATGCAGCTTGGATTCAGGGTCTGCCAAAGAACCTCATTCACCACAGAATCTCCTCATTCTTTTCTTGCATTTTTTTTTGATTCCTGCACACCCCACCCCCCCAACCCCCCCCTTCCCCTTACATCCCTTATCTGAATATATAAGGCTGCCCTTTGCTCAGATTTATGGGTTGGGGCAGCACTGTGTGTATTTACAGTCTCCTGACCTGCAGACCTACAGCTGAACAAGAGCAGGAGGAAACCAGGGCCTGTTCCATAAACAGAGACAGATACATGGGGGAGGCAGCAGGAATTGTGAGCAGCACTTAACATTTTTAACTATTTGGCCAAGCCAAGGAATTAGTGATTAGATTAGGGGCAAAGAAAAATGAGAAGCAGGGTTAAAGATTTAGGAAAGGTGGGGGAAAAGGACAGCAACAACCAACAGAGGCCCCAGGTTTGGCATGGGAAGAAAATAAAAGTTATTGGGATGTTATAAAATGTTTTCCAGGGCAAAAGGGAAGAAATGAAAGTGAACCTCCAAAGCATTTTAATCAAGTTGTGCTTTTCTTGGGTAGGACCAAACAGCGCTTTTCAAGTCTGATTATCTTTTGAGGAGGTAGATTACTTAGTCTGTGTTTATTCAGGAACTAATTGCCTCAGATTAAAAAAAAAAAAAAAAAAAAAAAAAAACTTTACTCATTGATAATAAATATTTCTGAGGTCCGTATCTATCAGTTGCTTTGTCAGTAGAAATTCAGTGCAGATGAGAAAATATTTGAAAGGGGCCAGAGGATTTACTCAACTTCTCAGAGGCAAAGGCAGCAAAAGTGGCAACAACCTGGAAAATAAATATATGAAATGCAATGTATGTAAGGGTCACAATATAGCATAAGTATATCAACATGATGAACAGCTTTGATGAAAATGGTAAACAAAACCACCCTCTCTTCCTGTGGCTTGTTTTACATTGCAATAAACCACTGACTCTATAACCTATCAGAACATGCTGAGATTTTATGCATCATTTCCAACTACTATTTGAACATTTGGTTTAGAGTAGTCATGAACCATAATTAATGGGATTTTTTTGTGTGTGTGTCCTGATAAAAAGCAAGCTTTATTGTATTTTATTACCTGTTGGTCCAAAGCTCCATATAGATGATGTAAATTCATTGTAGGTTTTAGGCTGGGGAAATAGAGGAGATGGGGTTTTGCACATGACTATGATGAATTAACATTTACAATTTCTAATCAAACCCAGAAATTTAGGTTGAGATGCCCTGTCTAAATTTTCTTTTCTCCTATGAGTGAGTTGGTAGCAATGGGACACAGAGATTTTGGCCCAGCTCAGCCTACCAGGACGAAAGGGGGAAAAAAAAAAGCCCCAACAACACAGGCACCACAAAGACCATGGAGATGAATGGCTCTATTTTATGAGCCATAAAAGTTTTATTCATCTTGACACTGAAACAGGTTTAGGCAGCGAGTTGACACGCCTTAAATAAATAAGTGGAATTAATTCCCCAGCTCTTGAAACAATAGCGGAGTGCCCGTAACGCTGAGAGCTGCCCCGTTGTTTCCCGTTGCTGCTCGATATTGATATTATTTGTGGGTTGTTTTTTTTTCCTCTGGGGCCTGGTTGCTCCACTTCAGATTCTTCCCCTGTTTTATTAGAGGTTGAAAAAGGTTCAAGACCTGGTTGTACCACTGCTCCCACCGACAGCTAAAGAACCAGTTTGGCGTCTGGTTTGTCTGTTGTTTTACTGCTGACCTTCAAATCAACTTTCCCCCCTGACCCCAGGAGGCATCTATCATGACAAGAGGCTGTTTAACACAAATGGTGCCCATTTATAGGGGAAGAGAGTCAGAAGATTTCCTTGGTTGTTGGTTTTTTTGTTTTCCTTTTCTTTTTTTAAATGAAGAATTTGGTTTTTTCACCCCTCTTTTCTCAGTCACCACAGGTGAAATCCCTCCTAGCAGCTGGCTTATGAAATAATGTGAGGGGAGGCCTTAATGAGCTGAAAGCACCCTCAGCTGGAGATAAATATATGCAAATGAGATGCACAAACAAAGGAGCCCGGACAGAGAAATATCTGCAATTCCAGCAAAATGCTGCCTGCAGCTAGAAGATGAACAGCTTTGATAAAATGGTAACAAAAAGCACCTTTTTCTCCTCCAGCTTGTTTTACATTGCAATAGGGCATTGTTATTGTAACCCATTGGAGCATGCAGAGGTTTTCTGCTGCTTCAAAAAAAAAAAAAAAGAAAACCTGTTTAAACATTTGTTTTTAGGGCATTCATGGGCTATGAGCAATGCGATAGCTTGGAGTTTTGTGGTGGCTTGGGGGGGATTTTTTGGGGGTGTTAGTTTGGTCATGGTGGGTGTTTTGGGTGTGTCTTTTTTTAAGTTATTTTTTAATATATATATTTTTAGTATTTATATTACCTGTTGGTCTGTCTCTGGCTTGGGTTGCTGGTGATTTTGGTCGTGGTATTTTGCAATGGGGAAGGCAGGGTGGGGGTGGCTGTTGCTACTCAAAAAAGAAAAAAATAATAATCCAAGTTTTACTTTCAAATTTGGAGGGAAAATCCAAGTTGACAAGTAGTAAGAAGCAGCCGAGGGGAATGTGGGAGAAGAGGGGAAAAAATCCAGGCTTGAACATTCACCAAGCAGCACCCAAACAGGCAGCTTTAATGAAAGCAATCAAGCCTCGGAGCTAATTCAAAGACAGACATCTAACATGCTGATTTTAATAAGCTTTTAAAAGGCAATCTCTAACTTTAAAAAGTTGCTCTTTTTAATTTAATTGGGGGGGGGGTGTTGGTTTATATATTGCCAAAAGAAACACAGTCACTAAAATATGTTTTCAATGTGTATAAGTAGCATATCTAGAAAATGTCTTAAATTAGCCCCGTATTTTGAGGGAAGGGGGAGAGGGTGGAAGAAGGAAAGAAAGACACTTACTTGGGATGAGTCAAATACTTTTTCCAGGGGTCATCATGTCAAAATAATACCTTTATGTTCCTGTCCTTGCCTTTATGAATCTTCCTGTGTGAACATATGGATGCCTCTTTGCCTATAGGCTTCTTCTTCAGAAAACAGCCCTGACCGATCATCCCTTGGAGATAGGCAAACCTGCCTTTCTAAAAGGCAGAGGAGAAAATAGAGAAAATACAGTGCTGTTTAACTTTTAACCTTATGATATCACTAAATAGATAATTATGGAATTATAAATGGAGGGTAAACACTATAAAGTTTAGAGGGCCCTTTACTCCAGGCACTAACCACAATTTTTATAGCTGGCAAGAAGAAGAAAAATAGACTTACCTTTAAGGAAAAAAATCCCCCTCTTTCTTTGGCACTTACAGATGTTAGAGCAGACAAGTGTTGGATTTCCCGATGTCAAGAAGATTTCCTAATTTTTCATAGCCTTCTCCTGTTGCATTTTTGGCCCAATATGGGAATCATCAATTTAATTTGTGGGGTTGCGCACTGGAAATCAAGATATACGTGTACGTGTGCTTTAATGAACCCTAAAACCTGACAGGCAACTGTCTGCTTGCAGTTGCCCCAAGCTCAGGATTTCAAGAGTTAATAAAAACTTGGTTCTATTAGGAAGGCTTTCTTTTTGCAGCCAAGGTTTGTAGCAGCATAATTATGTTCAACTGCTGCTGTTTGAAAAGGGCAAACAGCATCTTAGGCACAGAACAATGAAATTACAGCTGAGATTTAGGTTAGCAAAAGCCGTCTTCTGCAGGCTTTTATGATTCATTATTTCCCATTAAATACAGTATTAGAAGTGTACACCAGATAGCTCATGGTTGCTGCGCTCAGAGCACATTATCTATATTACACAGGTCTGGGGAGCAGAATTAGAAAACTTTGGGGGAATGAGCAATATGTGTTTGCTGATAGAAGTACCATATGGCTCATCTTCCTCAATTGCTTTCATTGCGACTCTGATGCTGGAGAAATTAAAGTTTTATTTGATGTGGCACAGCTTAATGAACTGTCTTCTGTTAGGAAAATTGAATATGTTTCCTGTTATTTGAGCACAGAGCCCTCATGGTTTTGGCTGATGAGGGATGCATTATGTATTGTTTATTTAGCATTTTGAAAACAAAAGCAGATATTGAAGGTAAAATTGATTACTGCAGGATGTGTTATATAATCACATTTTTCTCTCTTTAAATTATGGCCTTGCCTATTGTTTTTATGGAAGCATTTTTTGAAGACGGGGGGAGGGTGTCCCCTAATAAAAAAAAAAAAGGAGAAGTTGTCGAGGCAAAGTATATAATCGCTGCTTTGTTTAAAAGCAGTGTTAGAGCTTTTTAAGTTTAGACAAGGACATGGAAAAAAAAAAAAGAAATGCACTTACACATGCATTAACCTGCAGACCCAGTGGCTGCCATGCCATAGGTCTGGGGATGCCTGGGGACTGTGTGAGCACTGGGGCTGTGTCATTAGAAGAAGACTCATTTGTCCATCCCAAGTGGAGTACATAGAGAGGGGAACATCCAAAATTCAGGAACCAGATATCCTGGATTTCCCATTTCTTAGTATATTGGACAGAGTTAATTGCAAACTGTTAATACCTGCCAGGATGGGGGTGAATATACTTGGGGAGGATACAGAAAATTGCAGTGCCCGTGTTACCAGGCACTGCAATATCAGTCATTTATTTGGGGCAAGAAATAAGATATTGATGGAAAGATGGCTCAGATTAAAGGCAATGTGTGGTTCTGGCTTTGTTTGTAGCGTAAACAGACATGCACACACCAAGGACTATATACACCCTACTATATACCCATGTCATTGGGGTGGCTGGCAGCAATAAGCCCAGTGACAGGCAAGGGCTGTGGGTGCTAACCCCTCTTCTCTCCAAGGGAGCAGACAACTGTACTTCAGCTCTGAAACTTACAGACAAAAAATATTAATGCCCCTGGAGAATGTTATTCTTATTAATTCCACTTGTACTTGTTTGAAATCCTGCCCCATGACACCCTCTGACTTTTGCTGTTATTGATCTCCCAGGAAAAGAGAGGTGGGGATCACGGAGCAGTGAGTGGAAGGCAGAAACTGCCTGTGATAGCTCAGTGCTTCTCTCCTGCCCTCATGCTGCTTTGACAAAAAGACAATTTGTCTTGTGTGCCCCACAATGTTTGAGGACTCTGGGAAACGTGCCTGTTAAACAAGCCCCACACAGAATCTAAATACCATCCATTAAAAGAGAGAGTCCCCTTGTGTTTACAGCAGCAGGCCAAGGCGCTCAGCCCTCGCCCCGGAAAAACTCCCATTGACGTCAGCAGGGCTTGTGCTTATGCAAAGAGTGCAGGATGCTGCCCTGCACCTTTAGACAGAAAAAGGAAAAAAAGAAAAAAAAAAAAAATGAGTGGTACTGAAATGAGGATGTTGCTCTTGAAAACGTCTTGGAGCAAAGTGGTTAAAGCAAAGCCTGTATAAACAGTGACTATAAATATTTTCCATTCTGTATCACTCTTCAAACAGCTCCCTGCTGTAATTTCAGGTGAGTACAAAAATAAATAAACTATAGCATGAGAGGAAGAAGAAGAATCGAGAAACGAAAAAAAAAAAGCTTAACTCCTTTTACACAAAAGCTTAACTCCTTTTATCCAGATCTATCTCCCAGAGAAGAAACTAGTGGGTTTTTATGAAAGGCTGCTCCATGACAGGAGCCTCCTTTGAGGAAGACCATTATGCATTGTTATCAGCATGGCGTAATTTGACTGTTGACAAAGTATCTGTGGCAGTGAGAATGAAAGCAGTTAGAAGTGTGTCGGGTTGTAATCAAGAAGATGCTTAGCTGTGCAACGCTGCATCTTGAGCAGATTTGAATCAACATTGCCTTGAGGGGACACGCACACACACAGACACAGGCACACACACACACACCCCCAAAGAAAGTCCATTAATTTTTAGTGGGAAAATTAGAGTGGCACTTGATGAAGTGAAATTTGACATGCGTTAATTGCTCTGCAGCTCTCCTAATTAGAGATTTTCAAATTCTTTTACTGCTGTCAGCCTGATGCCACATTGTCTTGTTGGACAAATAGTAAAATTGCAAATTGGGTTGATAAAGAAGTTGGACTTGAAGATATTGGTATTTAGCTTGTTTGCTGCTGATCATCATTCTCGTAAGAGAGTTAGGGTGTTGTGGCCTCTGAAGGGCATTTGGGGAGAAAAAAGTGCAGTAAAATTTTTCTTCTTGATAAATAGAGAATCAATGATTTAACAGAGCTTGTTTAAAAAAGATTAAAGCATGCAAGAAGTGGACAATAAAGCTATGGAGTTGTAAATAAACCTTTAATCTTTGTTAAATCTATGTCTTGCATGAGATTTCAGATATCATTCTCTTTTTAATAAAACCATTAAATTCGGTTTATTTTTTGATGCACATCGTTCACAGTGTGGCAGATGGAGGCAAGGGTTGGGGTTCAGGTTCCTGCATGCCTTTTGCCCTAACCTGAAAAGCAGCATAGCAAGAACATGTTCTATATCAAAAACTAGTTATAAGGTTGTATGAACACATATTGGGGCTGGTTCTGAAAGCATGATTTTGTATCTTTTGTTTTTGTTTTCTTCCTTCCCCTCATTCTGGATCATGCCTCCCCTCCCTTAGCCTTTGAACCCCTCTTAATTCATTAACATATTGAATTTTTTCAATTTTCCATTTTCTTGCAATAACAATATTAATGCCCGGGCCAAGGCCTGATTGGAGCTAAATTACTTGTTACCTGCTGGCATTTATTTATATGGCATTGAATTATAAAGCTTTGCTATTGTCATGCCTTGGGCGAATTGTTTATGACACCAGTAATAGGAGTAATTGTTATTGTTGAAATTACCTGTCAGCTACCCATAGCAGTGGCCCTTGTCCCACTGACAAATAGTGACAGGGGAGAGGGATCCTCCGCACGTCCTCCTGATGACTTCTCCTCTGATAATAAGGAGTGCAGGGCCTCTGATAATTTGCCTGTCACTGTTGAGTGCAGCTCAGAGAGAGTTGGCCAAATTGTTGTCATTCACTTTGACAAAGACAGCAAAACGCTGTGGAGCAGGAGGAGGATTATCAAAATAAATGAAAGCCCTCACACGTCCTTTGTTTTGGGTTTTTTTGGGGGTTGGGTTTTTTCCCTCCCCATTGCCACTCGCCTGCCTTTATGCCAGAGTTGTAAAAATGGGCATAGGTTCCTCAGCAGCGTAACTTAAGAGTCAGCACAGGGTAGCAGTGAATGACACAAGGGCTTGTGCAATTTGCGTGCTGCTTGCCTGAAACATTTTGGTTTCTAAATATAAATTAAATTCTTTATGGATTTTTGAGGGGTTTGATTTGTTTTTTTTTTTTTAGTCTAAGGCTGTCTGTGTTTTGGCAATTACCAACTGTCTTTGCAAGAGAAAGGATGGTGTTTCTCTTGCATGGATTTGATTTTATTTGATTATTTATTCTCTTATTTTTCACAGTCAGCAGCATTTCTTTCAGCTCTCCTCTTGCTCTCGTGCCTGGCCCTCTGAAACATGCCCGATGCAGCAATCAGTGTTGCCCTGTGCCCAGGGCTGCTGGAAACAGCTCTGCTCTGCTCTGCAGCTTTTTGCCCCCCTGAGCTATTGCGATATCAGCTGAATTATCTTCACCAAAAATATTATTTCCTTTAGGAAAGCAGGTTCTGTCACTGATAAACCCAGCAGAGGTCTGTTAGCTGCTGCGAAGGAGCTTTGTGAAGAGGCGGTGTTATTTGTCAGAGCCTATCTATTTATAAAAAAAAATGAAATAAATTACAAAAACTCCCCCTTCACGTCCTGTGACTGGTGCGCACGGGAGGACGCCCACGCTCGGTGCAGACTTGCTGCCAATCACACCCTGACACTGCTGGAAAAGGGAGATATTTTACACCATCACAGCAGCCAGGCTGCATCAGGGATGCTCAAAGTGCAGGTTTGGGATGCGCACATTACACCCTGTCTGATCCAGAGTCGTCCACACCGCATTCTTCACATCTCATCCTATAATAGCAATCATTTCCCCTTTACTGGTCTTTACACTCAGGTAATGACTACCTGGGGCACAAAGGACCTCAGGGGCTGCTTTAGGCCCTTTGCCCCCAGTAGCCAGTCCCTAATTGATCAGTAAAACCTCCCACCGAGTCACTGATGCATGGCGTTATTTGCTGTAACAATGAGGTTTGGTCCACATAAATACCTGCGGGCACCACCTCACCCCTCGATTTGCTCCCTGAAGGAGGAGGTCTAAATTCCTGCTACCAAGGATTTTCATCAGCGGCAAATAAATCTGCTGAATTCAACTCTTTCATTTGTAACCATTGGGCTCAAACGCATAATTTAGCCAAATTATCAGCTGCCTCCATCTTCCCAGGGAACGAGTGCAAACAACGTTTTAGGAACAGACATCTAAATTTAGTAGGGTTTTGAATAATTGATAGGCTGGTGTGACAGAAGATAGAAACTTATGTTTCTAATCATCCCAAAGCATTTCTCCTTCCTTCCAGCCCCCAAAAGGAAGTTGCTTTTTTTGCAGTTAAATATAGGGAAGATGTCCACTTAACAAGTATAAAATTGTGATAGCATTGAGAGGTTATCCGTGGTAATAAAAAGCATGGAACATGCCTGAGAATGTGATCTGTAAGGCAGATAATTTTTAAACATGGAACTTGTCCTTGCTTTGTCTGGGGAGAGGCATGTTAGTGATCCCAGAAGGGGAGGGTAAAAAATATAACACACATTTCTAACTGAAGATATTTAAAATATATAATGTATTTCGGTATGTTACTGTAAGCTGCTGTTTGATGTTTTTTCCTATAAAGCTTAAATCAAGCATCCCAGATATGGTTGTGAATCTCCTGCTCCTAGCTGCGTCAAAAAACAAAATACATTTTAAATGGCTGTATTACCAATATCCCGATAGTCTTTAACATACAAGCATAATCATCTTCCCTCTATTTTCTCTCTCCATTCCTAAATACAGCCCCAGCAACAAAAAGCCCACCTTTACATTTCAAGCTCATTTGAAATGTAAACTTTTAGCAAATAAGCGATGGCTTATGGAGCTGCATCGCCGCTGTGGCTGGCAGCAAATTCCTTTTTCTCCCTCCCATCAGTGTAAGGGGTTTGAAATACCCATCAGTGTCAAAAGAAACTGCGCAAATCACTGCGGTTCTAAATAAGGCAGAGCAATGTCGAGAAAAAAACTGCCCCCCCCAAAAAGAAAACAAAAAAAAATCACTCAATGCATTAAAATGACATTTCTGTCCCATGTCAGTCCAAATGACAAAGTGTCATGTTTTGCATCATTTCAGAAAGATATCCTTCAAACAAATTCATCGTATAAACAGGCAACAGGCTTTTGTTTGAAACATTTCAGATCAAAAGTTAAAGGAAGAACAATTAATATTGCCTATTAAAATCCCTGTTATTGTTAGAGATACATTTTGTGGTTACTCACTATAAATAAAAGCAAAGGAACAGAGCCATGGTTTCTCACCACTACAGATAGAAAAAGGCAATTTCTAGCTTTTTCTGTTTTGTTTTTTTTTCCCTCAAAGTTGCTCTTAAATGTGTTTGCTGAATAAACAGGATTAACTGTATTTAAAACAAGAGATAAAGAACAGCTTTTTACTACACTGAACAGTCTGTAGGGTTTCCAGACTCTTCTGAATGCACTTCATGCCTGGAACATAATGTTCATATTTTACCTTTTTAATGACACTGTATAGAAGAAGCAAAATATTTTTGTAATAATACAAATATGGAATCGATGGGGAATGGTATAAAAAGAGCATTTTTACCATTTCTGCTTCTGGCCAAATGCTGGAGTGGTGGGTTTTGTTTTTTTTACTTTCTTTCTTTTTGCTTTTGTCTTTGTTTTTGTTTTTGTTTGCAGTTTTGCAGCAGGATGAGAAAGCAGGGAGGAAAGAATTCCTGCTGCTGAAGGGGCTTTCCCTTTTCCTCTGGCTGCAAAAACTCACCGAGTGCTGTTAAAACACAACTAATGGCGAGAGCGCGATCCGGAGAGCCAGCCTGCTATCAGCTGCATTTCAATGGAGGCTTTCTCAAAAAATAGGTACAAAGAAAAGAATTTAGACAAATTTGCCTCTTAACCTTTAAAGATTTCCTGCCTATTTCAGTATGTCCCTTATTACATTAATTTTTTATTTAAATTACACCATTAACTGGATATGAATTTATCAAGAATACATATATTGATTTATAAAACAGTATCATTAATTATTATAATAGCTAGATGTAGCTGATATTACAAAGCCATTTAAAGGTTTTTAATATAACTTGGACATACATAGATAGATAGACATTATGGACAAGACTACAATTTAAACTGGCTACCAGCAGTTAATGAAATCCTTGATTTATCTTCTCATTTAGAGATTGATTATGTTGTTGCTTTGTAAAACTATTTATTTTATGCCATTTTTCAAAGGATGTCTCAATAAAAGATAAATAAAACATCCAACCAAGTCTCAAAGCATATTTGGTTTTATATTTTCTTTTTTAATGCTGCAGCTGTTAATGTATTACTAGTTTGGAGAGTTGTTACCTTTACAGTGAATTGGCTTTCTTGATAATAGCTATGTTTGCACATGCACAAATTTCTATGTTTGGATTGAAAAAAAAAAAAGAAAAAGAAGAAGAAAAAAAAATATGATGTCTTCCCCATAACATTATGCTTATTTCCTAAACCAAAACCCAGCAAAATGCCTTTCTGGCATAGATTTCTTAGGCATAGTTTTTGTTTAAGTTGTGGAAAAATGGGACTTACCCTAGTGCTGCAAAGCAGTCAGTCATGGAGAACATTTTGATTTAAAATGCAATCTGAAGAGAAGAAAAAAGAGAGGGGGAGGAAAAAAAGAGAAGGAATGATATAAACAAACAGAACACCACTTTCAAGTTCCTCCTAAAATGTTCCTAGCTTAACTAATACATTGGAAGTTTAAATCTTTGCACATTATTCTTGAGGGGCTATGTCTCTTGACTCTTTATTTATATCACTTATTCTTGTCTGGCAACATATGTTACCAATTTATTATAGTATTTTTTTACAGTTAGCCAGACAAATGTAAGGGCTAGCTGAGGAAGGGTAGTTGCATCTGATGAGTTTAACAATTGCAGGGCATCCTTTAGGGGTAGCCAATGGGCTCTTTTGAAGCTATAATACTCACCATTAACCATTTTGATGCTGACATATTTTTATTGTCAAAGTTGGGGCTTTCCCTCATATCAGCTTCTTTTGTATTCAGTGGCTTCACAGGCAAACCAAGCAGTGTGGCTGAGTTGGTCTTCAAGCCAAGATGTCTCAAACGACCCTCTTACATCTTGGCATCTAAATCTGCATGGCATGCCCCCCACAACTGAACAAAGAAAAATACATGTAGAAAATAATACTTTAAAAAAATCCTATTCTATCCATGACAAATAATAATATAATCCATGACAAATGCAAGCAAATCCTAAGCACAGGCAGTCAGATTTCTCAGGGCCATTACTGACACCAAAAGGTAGCAGAGAGGAAGACTTTTCCCACCAAAGCAATCTCCTCCAAATTTCCATTTGAAATGGATGCACCAGCATCAGAGGGAGAAATTGCAAGGACAGGTGGTGAGGTGCGTGTCACATTTTGCACATGGTGTTTTTAGGTCACCTATTCTGGAGCAAGATCTTGAAGTCTCCCCAGCTTTTCCTTCCTACGCATTCTCTGTCCTGTCTCCTTGTTCAATGGCAACACCTTCCTCCAGCTCCTCTGAAAACTGTACCCCTGTGCCTTGTTTCACTCTTAGAGCCCCATCTTGAGCTTCTGGGAGCCAAAAGGTTTGTACAAACTGTGGGGACATAATTCCTGATATCTCCATGATTTCCAGCCCTTTGGTACCAGATCAGACCATTACACCTGCCAGCAAATCCTACCATGTATGAGACACCCAGCATGGTATGCTCAAGAGCCCTCCTCCCCAAGGATCATGGAATTGATGGTAGGGCACACTCTGAAATTTCTGCTCCTTAGAATTCAGTCAGAATTTTAGGATTTTTTAGCTCCAAAAAGTCAAGTCCAATTTCTCTTGCATCTTCAGGGAATGTGGCTGTGTAAGCTAGCGTGAGGCCACAGGAGTGATGATCCTGAGGAGTGGTGATCTACTGGGGAAAAAGGTACAGCCAGCAACATTTTGGGTGGGAAATGAGGTGTTCCAGGTAGAATAAATGCAGAAGTTGCAATTAAATTCGTTGGGCTCCCTTGACGGGAGAGATTGAAAGTGGATCAGCACGTCTCCTGATAGCACTAGGGGGTCCTTGACAAATGCCACACAAAATAGTTTCAGCTGGGAGGAGAGCAAGTGCTCCTATGGGTTTTTTTATTTTGACTTATTGACAGTTCAGTTGTTGTGGGCTGATTTCTTTTATTTTTTAATTTTTTTAAATTTAATTTTTTAATCATCCCCTCTACTTATTTTAGGGGATTTTGAGGACTTTCTAACTTAGATCTGAGTTCAGCAGTATGCACAAAACTTGCATGGAAATAAAGACTTTCCTTTCTCATTTTTCTATCAAGAAGCTAGCATAACTTTTACTTTGTGTGGAGTTTTTTTGAAATTGCAATTAAATTACTTTTGATGCCCTCCTAAAACAATTTGCAACCCCCAAATGAACCTTTGGAGACAAGTCTCATCCTTCTTAATTCCAAGGGCACAGTGAAAAAGGCTGCGGATTAAATGGTCACACCAGGACTCCAAGATTTAAGAATTTGAAGTCTTGGCTTTTCCTGTTTCTCCAGAAAGGTTTTACTTAGACAGATGTCATCAGTGTCCTGGGCAAATATTTGGTGGCAATACGAAAGCTTGGAGCATATAGATTAATATTTATTTAATTTTTTATTTTAACGACATTGATAGCAACTTCATAATTTGGCTAATAGCCTCCCTTAAATTTGTTTATTCCACTCAAACCCATATTTTCTTGGCTGGGGAGGGAGGAACAGGAAGCGTGACTTGGTCTCTCAATCACTCTTTCTGTTTTGTCCATCACCTTGGTTTCTTTCCCCTGTTTTTGACCTGCACTTTTTCTGGATCAGACACTGGCAGGTTGAGAGGTAATAAGAACCAGATGGACATAGTACAGAAATTGCCCAAATGGGTACGAGAATGTGGGGAGCTGTCAGGCATGGAGAGAAGCTGGAATTTTTCAGCAATAAAATGGGATTTATCGCCACTCTACCACAGTCATTGCCGACAACCGTTTACCTTGACAGAAACCCCATTCCAATAGGCCATACCGATGCAGATTTTTTTTACTTTTTTTTTTCCCCTAAGAGTGATGATTGGTATTTGTTCTAAGGCTCAAATGGCCTGCACTAAAGGTGAAGCATTAGGCCAAAGTCCTGTATTCCCTACTGAGGCAAATGAACCTGCTAAAATAAGTTCCTTCCACAATAGCTGTGTAATTGAAACCAGAAAGTGAGAGAATTTGATAAATTGCTTGACCCTGAAGGAATGTTAAGGTCATAAATTTTCATTGGATTTTTTTTACTTCTTTTTTAGGAAAAAAATCTCTTTTATATATTTACAGGTAGGTAGATATATTATGTTTAGTATTTGTCTCTGAATTCCAGCTAACTTCCAAATCATTAGTTGTTAGTTTGCCATCCTCTCCCCATAGGAAACTACAAGAGGGTTCAGAGCATTCCTGCCTACAACTTCCTAGGAGGGCTGAAGGACACAAAACACTCACAAATGGCAGTGCTGTTAAGGAGTCAGCCACATAAAGAATAAACAACCCAAAATTGTGAGGTTAGCAAGTGCAATCCCTCTAGAAAGACAAAATAAACAACATAAAAAACACAAACATACTGTACTTGAAGAGTGCTGGAGTAAAAAAAATCTGTAAATCTTTTACAGGCTATCAAACATTTATTGCTACTTTCAGCTTTTTTTTTTTAACTTAAAAGTGGTATTACCGATACTTGAAAAAGAATCATCAGAGTTTTCTTGAATAGTATGTACAGTATTGAATTATATGTTTACAATAAGATGTCCCTTCAAGCTCAGAAAGTCACAAGCAAACCCCAGATCCCACGGTATCTTATTGTGGTAATACACATCTTGAGAATAAGTAAAAGAAAAGAAATTTTAAAAAAAAATGAAAATTAAGGCAAACCAAAAGAAAGGATGAGAACAATTAGGAGAATAAACAACAAGGTAAAACATCCAGGCATGCTCCCTGTTCTGTGCTTGCACACGTCAATAAATACAGCCATATTAAAATAACTTCTGAGAAGAAGCAGAGAGGAAATTCAGAAGTATTTTGGTTTTGTATATGGTTGTTTGGGTTTTGGTTTTTTTTTTCCTGCAGTAGCAAAATTTACTTCCATAACTGTAGTAGCTTCCGCTTCTCAGCTGCTTGAAATTTGCCATCATATAGTAACTGTTTTTTATAATCCGGCTTCTTTCCTCCCTGTGCTTTGAATATAACATTTCAGAGGCAAAATTGTCTCACTTCAATAAGGCACTGCACTTTACATAGCCATACACAATTAACCCTACATGAAGCAAGTTAAATAATCATTAGCACAGTAACCCATTGCTATCAAAAACTTATTGGTCCTCTAAATTTTAAATTAATGGCCTGTCTCCCTTGTTCTGTGTATCTGTATGATTCTGGTTTTCAGACACTACAGTGGAAAGTCATAGACATTTTATCAGCACATAGATGATTTGCATTATTGATATTTCAATTTAAAAGTAAAATAATAAAAAAAAAGTGCAGGGAAAAATAGTTCTGCTGAGTTGATTCATCCCTAGACCCCTGCTTCTTCAGTAACCCGAAAGAGTGTAAATTTGCTGCCAATATTTCAGGAACCAGTAAAGAAATGCACTCTGTTCCTCTCTGGCCAGGTTGATTCTAGCTCAAATAAATTTCCTTAAGAAAGCATGTAAAAGAGAAGCTAAAGGGAAAAAAAAAGAAAAAAATAATTGAAACAATGTCCCCATAAAATCATAGCAAAAAAAACCTCAATAATTTATACTTACTTTTTCTTTTTGGAGACGTTAAATAAAACTGTGGTGGAATGGGGTTTCCTTGCTTTGTGAGGGATGTTTTTTTCCCCCACACAGTTTCTGGCCCAAATCCCTTCTTTCCTTTTTATTTCTTTGAGTCCCAAAGTAACTGCTAGTCATTTTGAGACAGTTACTTATCCGGAGAATGAAGGAGTATCATCTGTGTTTCAATTAGAGAAGGAAAGAAAAGATAAAGACTTGGAACGTAATCGAAAAATGCAAAGAGACATATTAGGATGAGAATTTTCATCTGTTGCTGTATAAATATTTTAATAAAAGTTCTAAAATAATGTGTCTGCCTCCTGCTCTATAAAAGAGAGGAGATTATGAAGTGCAAATGATGCAGCTTAGATGTATAGATCCTACTGGGATTTTTCACCATTTAAGAGTCTCTTCATGCTTCTTCTCTAGAAGTTTGTTTTAGAGCCATTTCAGACCCCGAGAAGTATAAATTTCACAAGTATAAATAAAAGATGACCAGCAAGTGGCTTCAATCACTAATATTTTTTGCAAAATAATGTTCAGCTGATGCAACTCGATTTTGTTTTGCATCACATTAGTGTCACAGCGGCAATGACTGGCTTTTATTCACCAACCCTTTGAGTCAGCACTTCAAGACATCTTTCAAATTAGGTCATACTGCAAATTTGCTGCTGATACAAAGGTTGATTAAGAGAGCTTCACAATTTTAAAGGGATGTCTTGTGAGCAGAATTAAGGTCTGGTTGATAGTTCCAGGAAATGTGAGGCCCCGTAACTACATGAAAATAATGTATAGGCTCTACGGGGAAAGAACATATTTCCTTGTTGCACTTGAAGAAATACTCATTTACAATTTAACCAAGTTCTCCCCACACTCCCCCCCATCCAGTTACAGGAGAAATTGTGTCTCTGAACAAGCCTTGAATTATAGCACAGAGGCAGTGAGATGAGCCCTGCTCTCCTCTTGCCGAAAATCGGTCCCCCCCTCTTGCCTCCTTTGATCTTCTTTGGAAAGACCAATTTCTCCCCCCTCCCACTGAAGCATCTTGGTTTTTGCTTTCCCCCATAAAACAATCCAGCATCGCAACGGGACCCTTCACCCGTAATGTAGCATCTCCATGCTGAAGCTGAATTGCTTGTATAAACCTCCCCTGAAGATCTGGAGGGAATGATAAGAAGTGACAACCAATCATGGTGGCCAGAACTAGGATTGTAAATTACTTCTAAGCCCAATTTAGGCATCTTAATGAAGTGGCCAAAAATTTTCCCCTCTGCAGTACAGAAGGGACAGTAGCTCTTCTTGCTCCAGAGTCTGAGCATGCAGGAGAAAAATCTCAAAGGGAGCTGCTGGCTGCTGAGTGGTTCTGGAAATTGGGCCACTTCATTTTTGATGACTGAGTGGGAAGCGAGATGAATGATCTCTTTGAAGGGAATCGGACCCAAATCTAAGATTTCTGTGGCACTCGGGGATTTTAGACT